AATATGTATATGTAGATGAAATTAAGCATGTTGGATAAAAACTGTGATGACCTGGCATGTGAAATTATATTATGGTGTTTGAAAAATGAAATGGGCGAGAATTCACTCTAGTTGAAAGATTATTTTATTGTAAGTTCACATGGCATAAACTACTTAAGTAGCTTCAATGTTAGATAATCGTCGCACTAGCTTCTGACGGAAGTTTAGTGTGTTATGGCTTAGCTCATAATATCCACTATGAGAGCAGGTATGTGTTATTGCCTTATTGGCAATAATTATGATACCTTGTGAAAATTCAATTAATAAGGGAGTCCATGTGCTAAGTTAGAAAGCGGTGTCCTTTGGCTGGATTATCCTTTTAGCATTGGAGAGGTTAGACTAGTCCAATCACATGAATTGGTCCTATTATATATGGTAGCCCATGGAATCAGTTATAAGGAATGAGGAGGAGATTAGGAGGAAAATAATTGATCATGCACATTAAATGTTTTATTATGATTTAATATTATAATTTCTTTGCTTTACGTGCCCTTAGTGTTCATGTTGTGTATCTTAAAAGTTATAATTCATTGGTTAAAGAGATATTTATCTCACCCCGTAATTAATATTTACAGATAACACTTTAGGTAGTGACAAAGGGAAGGATATATAGGCTTGGAGTTAAATTGCACTCTATATAGCTTCATTTATCTCTATACAGTAGAATGGATATATATATATATATATATATTATTTATTGCCAATTCAGTAACATGTTGCATTTATGTTTGTAATTTATATTGTGATTATGGATTGCTGTCTACCTTGCCTTTTGAGAATCAAGCTTATGATGGCTTGTGTTATGGCTAGTGAATTTTATTGTATGAGATTATACTTGAGTTATTATTAAATATTGTGGGCCTACTTAGAATATTTAACCTAAGTTTGTGGGGCTTGTGATACAGCTGAAAAATATTGTGATTAATATTTATGTGATCTTGAGGTTGATGATGCTCATGATTAAATTGAATTTGTGGGTTATAATGTTGTGTTGACTCTCAAGGTGAATATATTGGCCTTACTAGTTTAGGAGTTCAATTGTGGTAGAATGCTTAAATCATGTAAATTGATTTTTCTGTCTTTATAATGTTGAGTAGCCCTATTAATGGATTTACTTCATGCTTCTGTTTGTTTAATTACTCCAATTTATTATTTTGAGCTCAATGGTTTTTGGAAATTGATTTTTATTCAGATCTCATTTTCAAAAAAACAATTCAATTGTCCTTATTTCTATATAATCATGGTTAAGCCTTTTCTATCATGGTAATGGCTAATTTGAAACATTGTCCTCAATGCTATGATAGTGTGTTTAATTAGTGGGTTAATTGTGATTATTAGTTCATCCTCATTGGATGGAATGACAGTCTTGAGAGGATTTGAGATTAAAGAGAACATTTTAGAGAATTGTTACAAAATCTTTTAATTAATAATATAGTGAAAATTTTAGTCATTGATAGAGTACAATAACCTCCCACAATTTATGTAACCAATTTCATACAGTGGGATAAAACTTGTTGTAAATCTTTTTTTTTTGTCAGATTTACTGTAAATGTTAAGCATAATTAAGCCACACATAAACTTATCTTTCATATTAAATATTTTAATAGATTGAATAAATTAACAGGTAGACTTTACTCAAATGATGAATTTATTTGAGCTTTTAACAGGCTTATTTCTTGTCATAAGAAGTACGAAATAACTTAACCCCCACTTGTTGATCTTTGTTGACATGTTACAAGAGCAAGGAATTACCTTTTACCTATTGATCTTTTGTTGACAAGTTTTCCTGCTAAATAAATTTGGGTAAAAAAAATTAATTGATCCTTAGAATATAGGTTTATGATTGTCTAAAACTTTAAAATTATTTTTAATACAATATATTTTTTTAAATTTTTAAAAATGGTGTAATATGACTTTTATTATTAACAAAAGTTAATTTTAATGATAAGTTAATAAGAAAATTACAAAAAAAACTTTAAAATTATAGAGAATGATCTAGATCTTATAGGTAGGAACCCCAAAAAATTAAAAAAATGACCAAAAAATATTTTATTGGTCATTTTAAAAATTTTTGAAGTCTTTTTTATTATTTTCTGGTTAACTAATAGTTAAAATTAACTTTTGTTAATGATAAGAGTTAAATTATACTGTTTTTAAAAGTTGAAAAGGAATATTACATTAAAAATAAATTTAGAGGGAGATGTTATTAAACCTATAATTTATGAGCCACTTTGCTCTTTTACCCAATAAATTTTACAAAAACAATATTGTTCAATATAGTCCATAACACTAGACGCGGACGGACATGCATAGTTATGATAGGAGGGGTATTAAGGTCTTGTTTAATTTAGTTTTTATTTCTTGTTTTTTTAAAATTATTTTGCAAACTAAATTTTAAAAATTATTGTTTTAAAAAATAAAAATGAACTTGATTATATTAATTTAAAATTAATTTTAGAGTTAAAAAATGGTTAATAATATTAGTTGCCACTAATTAATGATAATAACTTGTGATAATTGAAGGTAATTTATACTAGTTAAATGTGAACTTTTAAAAATAAAAAACCAAAAACAACTATAGATATTTTCATATTTTGTTTGGGAGAGTGACACTTAAGTCCTAGAGAGATTTTTTTTATTTAAATAAAGTTCCACCAAATTTTAAAATATAAAGTAAGTCACTTAGGTTTTTAAATGTTATTTCCATTGAATGAAGTACTTTTCTAAATTTAAAATTGAGAAAACTAGTTACAAATTCAACAATACAAATTTATAAATTTGAGAAGTAAATTTGCAAATTCTTGAAAATGTTTCAATAGTGACATATGACTTTTTAAATTTAATGATTAAGATTTGTGTTCCTATTAAAATTGGAAAAATGAGTTACAATTTTAAAATGATGAAATTGCAAATTAAGGAGACAAAGTTGAAATTTTGTGCAAGTGTTAAAATAATGACTTGATCTTTTTCAAATTTATTCATTACCAATTGTGTTCCTTGTTAAAATTGAAAAGCAGGTTACAAATTTGAAAAAACAAAATTGCAAAATATCAAAATTAGGAGATAAGTTTGCAATTTCATCTTCATGCATTTGCAGCTCCATTTTAGTTGGAACACAAATATTAACAGTTAAATTTAAAAGTAACATGTCATTATTTAAATATTTTTAAAATTTGTAACTTTGTCTTTTAAATTTGTAATTTATATGATTGAATTTGTAATTTGTCTTTTCAGTTTTAAAATTGAAAACATATTGTATCATATGACAACGTCAGTTAAGGATCTAAATAATTTATTTTACATTTTAAAATTTATGTGGACTTCACTCAAATAAAATGATTCTATTTTTTTTTTTTTTGCCAAAGGTGCATCATATTAACGTCAAAAGGGCATAAAGTACAGCAAACAAGCAACAAGAAAAGGGAAAGGACAAAACAAGAGACAAGAAATAAAATAACTCAACATCAGTTAAAACAAAAGGTGAGAAAAATCAACCAACGCCATCTCGGTTTTGGTGGAGCTTGAGAGCATATTAACGATTAGGAGAGAAAACAAAAAAGGTGGTGGTGTGTGAACCAATCTAGTTGGACTCACTTCCTTGGGCATAGAAGCAGCTAAGAAGTTTGCTACACAATTGCCTCTGCGCGAGACAAAAGAAAGGAAAAGACTAGCCTTTGATGTCATAAGAGTTTGAGATATTGCCAGTGATGATGTTACTTTGCCATTCATCCAAACTTTGTTGATCTTTTTAGATACAACAAGTCACATTAAGACAATCACTTTCAAAGATAATTTTATTATAACTTAAGTTCCTGACTAATAAGAGGGCTCACTTCAAAGCTAAAGTCTCTACCATAAAAGCTGAGATTAATTTGACTTTGTCAGCAAATCCCCAAACAAAGTGACTGGCTTCACTTCTACACACTATTCCCAATAGGTGCTACACCATTTGTTGAAAGGAAGGTAGCATCACTATTAGTTTTAAGAAGCCCTCAAGAGGAAGAGTTTAGCGTTAATCTTTGCTATACTGCTCTTGCTCTTCATTGTGATGAGGACCTGATCTGATTGCCTTCCATTGTTCATATAAAGAATATTTGTCCTTATGAATTACACAGGCAGGGCTAGGTTTTATGGTTGAAAACTTCATCATTTGTAGTTTTTCCAAATAATTTGAAATAGCCAACAAATATGAGATAGTTTAAACTCATTTAAAACACTAGCAGTGGAAGAAGTCCGCCAAATCCCAACATTTGACATTAAGCACACAAACTTTCATATATAGTCACTGCCAAACCGGACACACCTTACCCAAGGGCAACTGAAGAACAAATGCTTGATGGTCTTTGATTCTTTTTCACATATTGGGCATAAATTTCATCTTCCTTTATCCTTTTTAAATAATGCTTCATTAGTGGCCATAGCATTTGAGAGACACCTCCAGATAAAACGAGCTATGCGAGGAAGAGTTTTAACTTTTCAAAGGGCCTTCCGTCGATTTTGTGATGATTCTGTTGAAATTTTAGTATCATTCCCTCTTTTTGTTTTTAAAAAACAAAAGAAACGATAACAAATTAAAAACATCTAAATCTAAAAAATTTACCAAAACATGTTTTTTAATTAATTTAAAAAATAGTCTTTGAAACTTACTCGCTACATGGACAGCCTTCAATTTGTTTTTTTTTTTAAGTTGTTAAACTAGATGAACAATGAAATCCAAATTTTTAAAATTATAGAAGCATATTTTAAAATTATCAATATAAATTTAAAAGCAAAAGCAAAAAATTTGTCACAAAAATTATATTTTATTTATTTATAAAAATTCACCTACTAAAAATTTTGTGAAGTAATAATATAAGCGATAGCAATAGTAATAACAGTAGCAATAATAATAAATTGCGGAGAAATTCCCCCCAAAACCAAAAAAGTTTTGATGAAATACTTCCCGCCATTTCGCTGGAGCTTCCTCCGTTTCTTCCCTCGCTGAGAATTTATTAAGGCATGGAGCATGCAGCTAGATAGAACTGTCAAAGGAGAAATCACAATCAAGAAGAGACTAATTAAAATGGGGATACAGGGTCTTTTGCCCCAGTTGAAATCGATCATGGTCCCGATCCACATCAAGCAGCTCGAGGGTTGCTATGTAGCGGTCGACACATATTCTTGGCTCCACAAAGGTGCCTTATGTTGCAGTACCGAGCTTTGCAAGGGGCTACCTACATCCAGGTATTGATCTTCTTCATCATTTCTTCATTTTATCCTCTTTGCAAGAATGCAACTAAACTTTTATTAGATTACAGCGATTGGGGCAAATGGGTTTTATACAGGCTTATTAGATTAATAATCAGCTGCTAAGTTTCATTTCAAGCTTTTAATGTTTCCGATATACTGATCAATGGGTATGAGTTCGGTAGACGCAAGTAAAATGGATCTTGACCTGGTGATTTGTTATGTATTTTATCCAGTAAGATACATTTTTGTGATAATTTTATCCAAAACAATGCTGATTGATTCTGGATACTAAAAACCAGCGAAAAGGGAATCTTGAAGCAGCTGAGCAAGAAAGTTTTGCACTAATAAAAGGAAGCTTGCGACTCGTGCAATTTTTTTGAATAAGTTTTCTCTTATTTCCACTAAATTCAAGCCTGGCTTTATTTCTGAATTTAGAAATCTGATTGATTTTAGTCAATCACGAACACGGGCCTATGGGCTATGTAAAGTTGACTCATCTGTTTTCTCGTACTTAGAGTAATTCAAACGTAACTCATTTTTGGCCATTTTCTTTTGAAAGATTTTTCCCCACTTTTTGAAAAAAGGGTTTGATTGAAATAACATGGCCCAAAAGACTTAAAGGAAAAGTTGCTATGTTGTTTTCCATACACAGCTACAGAGAAGCATTACTATCTACAGCAAAATAGTTCTAAAACGATAGCAATATCTGCAATTTTTCTGATGATGATCTGTGAAGCTTGAACACTTGGAAGAAAAAGAAGCTATGTTCTACTTATATTTGACATTATGCAAAATATTAAATTGCACAAAGACGTCTAGACTTTGTTCTGTTGTGATGTTTTAACCATGTTAAATATTTTAGGCCAAAAAAAAAAACCATGTTAAATATTCATGCTTCCTCAATGCTGATTGTTGTCCTGTCCATAAGAAATGGAAGAAAACTGCAAGTAATGGTTCTATGTTCTGAGAAATCGATTAATGGCTGAACTGGCATTTATTTTGAATCTTTCAGGCACATTGAGTATTGCATGCGTAGAGTAAATTTGCTGCGTCACTATGGTGTAAAGCCTATTCTTGTATTTGATGGAGGCCTACTACCAATGAAGAGCGAACAGGAGAACAAGCGTGCGAGGTACTTCATGTGTCTTTACATCCTTATTTTCTCGTGTTTGCATCTAGTCTTGTCTTGTTTAAGCATCTATTTGTTTTTTTGAGTGGTGCCGCAACTGGTAGCAGTATAGCACAGATCTATATGTATTTTCATGCTTTAAATCTTAAGAGTGTAAATGTATGACATTTTTTCCCCTTTAAATGTTAATCATGAAACACATTAAATATAGCTGATTTTGTATGCCTTGTTGTCATCAGGAGCAACCAGAATTTAATTAAGTGTTTAGTAAGTATTGTGCTTGCACCTCAAGTCTACATTTGCTTTCATGCTCTTTTATAGTTGTTTTGCCGCATGTAAGACTACTCTCCAACTCGATACAAGCTGACAATTTGAACATGAACTTTTCTGAAACTTCGTGAGGCTATGTCTACACAGGGTTCTTGTTCACAATTGGAATTCGTTGAGTTATTAATATCAAATTTATAACATTGAAGTAGGTAAACCAAAATTTTCACTATCTGAATGAAAACTAGGAATTCTTTGATTTTCCTATTTCTATACTTAATGAAACAACTTTTTACCTTACTGTTTGGCACTCGTCTGATTTATTTGTTGCTTTTGGTATTAAGGTAAGATGGACTCAATGCACATGTAATGTGGATGATGGAACATTCCCAATATCACCTAGTAAGCAAATCGTTTTGCAAACTAAGCAATTGAGTATCCCAACTTAAGGATTCCAGTAATGGGGCATGAAGTTTTTATTTATTTGCTAATGTGGTATTGGGCATTAGAGGATAGCACAATATCACCTAGCATACCCTAAAATCTTACCTCCTTATTATTGCTGTTGCTCATTTACATATGGAAGTACTTTATATTATTTAAATTACGGCAGGGTGAGAAAGGAAAATCTTGCACGTGCTGTTGAACATGAGTCACATGGAAATTCTGCTGCTGCTTTTGAGTGCTACCAGAAAGCTGTTATATCTCCCCTCTGGTTGCATGTGAACTAATTCAGGTAGAAAAAGGAAATTCTTATATCATGATCGCTCTTATTGTTCTGAATAAATCAAACCCATTTAGTTATGTTACTATCTGGGTCCCAAGCCTATTAACCTTGTTTCTGGTGGAAGGTGTTGAAACAGGAGAAAGTGCGTTATCTTGTTGCTCCTTATGAGGCAGATGCCCAGATGACATTCTTGGCAGCTAGCAAACAGGTTGAAGCAGTTATAACTGAAGACTCTGATCTTATACCATTTGGTTGTCCAAGAGTGAGTTGATCAGACCTGAATTATATTTAAACAACGTATCTCATTGCTATGACTAAATTATAATTCTTCCAGCTTTCTTTTGCTCATATTCTTTTGTTTTGACTGGGTTGTTTTCCTTTTAAAATATAGATCATCTTTAAAATGGACAAGTTTGGTCATGGCGTTGAGTTTCAGCATTCCATGCTGCAAAAGAACAAAGAGCTTAGTTTTGATGGGTTCACCCGCCAAATGCTTCTTGAAATGTGTATATTCAGTGGCTGTGACTATCTGCAGTCCTTGTCAGGTATGGGTCTCAAAAGGGCTCATGCGATTATCAAAAGGTTCAAAAATTATGACAAGGTAAGTTTTTTATGCACTTGATAGGCACATTGAGTAATAAATGTTTATTGTTTTTGGCGTTCAAAGTACAGACTCATGCATACACCTATACATTTTAAAGTTACGCCAAAAGTTCTTTCTTTCTTTTTAAAAAATGTTACATATTTTAAATCCTTTGGATAGTTCTATATGAATTAGTTGTCAACTTGTAAATTGTGATCCTCCTGTGAATATCTACGTGCCAGGCTCTTAAGCACTTGAGATTCAATGGAGTTTCCGTCCCTTCCTCTTATGAAGAATCATTCAAGAAGGCTATATTGACTTTTCAATATCAACGAGTTTATGATCCAATCAGGGAAGATATTATTCATTTGTCTGATGTACCAGCTGATATTGGTGATGACTTAGACTTTTTAGGACCATATCCTTTATCTTAAGCTTTCTTGATTGCATTAATATATGTATATCTCCATTGTATCTTGTTGAATTATTTTAAATCTCATATGAAGTTGCACCTTAACCTTGAATACATCTATGCCTAAAGAAACGGCTCAAGGAATAGCAAAAGGGGATCTTGATCCATTTAGCAAAATGCCATTTCAGGTACATTATCTATTTCTTTCATATCTTCATCTCTGATGGTAACAGATGATCATGCACTATGTGCATATCTTTTGATGAATAAATTAATTTCAGTTGAACTGGAATTTCTTTGGTTTTTCTGTTTACATGTTGAATATAATTTCAGGTGATCATGCATTATACATGGAACATTCAGGGTAATAGTGATGATATATTTTGAAAATGACAGGGTTGCTGAGTCTATCGCTATTAGAATGATTTCTGTATAACTAGAGCGCTCGTGTGGTTCATGTTTATGTGACTTTTACTGTTTTATACATGCTAGGTAGTCTTTTTCATTGCTGTTATAATGGTAGTTGCCAAGTCTATCGCTATTAGAATGATTTCTGTATAACTAGAACCCTCGTGTGTTTCATGTTTATGTGACTTTTACTGTTTTATACATGCTAGGTAGTCTTTTTCATTACTATTATAATGTTCTGGTGGGAGGTATGAACAAGGTACATGCATGAAGATCACAATAATGTCACCTTTCAGTTGATGTCATTAATAAGCAAGATAACTTATGATGCTTCAGTGGGATGCATGCTTGTATGCTCTGCAAGTCATATATAGAATAGGTCAGGACTCATTTCTAGATATTAAATTGCAAGGTAAGATGAATTTTTAAACAATTGCAACTACGAAAGACATGTTCAGATGCTTTATACCACTCTCACTGCTTCGTATGTGAATGTGCCCCCCCTCCCAAAAAAAAAAAAACGACAGTCCATTTAGTCTCCTGTCTTGAAGTACTCTGGAATAGCAGGTAGAGAATCTTACTGCTGGATTGGCAATGGAGAGGGCTTCAGAAATAAAAGCGTCACATTCCAAAATTGCAAAGAAAAAGTTAGATTTACCAGTGCAGAAGAATGTTTTGACCAAGTATTTTTGTATCCTGCTAAGAATTCTTGGTTAATTTCAGATAGTTTAGTTGCTTAAGATATCTTCTTGGAAGTGGGATAAAGAACTGCATTCCACGAGGCACAGGGATACTGCCTGATGCTTCCAATACCTTTGCCCTTTTTTTATATTATTTTCAACCAAGATGTGACATTTAAAATAGTCATCATGACTCAAAGCTACAATATGTTTTGGCAGCATTTAATCTTAATGACATACTGCCATGTATGTTGATATCCCTTTCTTGTGTTATAAATTCTACCTAAGTTTTCCTTAGCCTTGAAAGGTTTTGCATCTCTGGAAGCAAAAAGAAAATTCATAGCACCTCGGATGTCACCTACTGCTACAGATCAAAGCACATTGGGCTCATCTTCTGTCAGTCCCCAGGATCACGAGACTTTGGAGGCTGCTGCTGCTAAAACAAACAGATCTGCTGCATCCTTAGTTGACTCTGAATTTTTTGCCAATGTACCTCCCGTTGATAACTGTGTAAGTTGTCTGAACTACCAGACAGTGAAAAATCTGTTCATTGTTGGTACATGCTTGTTATTTATAATCTTGAACTTGGTGGTTTTCTTTTTCTTCTTTTCTTTTCTTTTTGTTCTTCAGGTCGAAAACAGGCTGCCCACCAAATTTATAGAGTTGATGGAATTTTCACGTTTCAGTAAGGATATGGATTTGTTAATTTGATTTGGATGAGAAATTTCAATCCATAATCTGAGTGGTAGTTGATATTCACTTGTGTAACTTACCTTGATGAAGACGTGGCAGGTGAGAAGAGGAAAAATCCAGAATATACTATACTGCGACAGCCATAGAGCCAATTCATAAACCTTGTCTGGGGTTGTATAAGGAGCATAAGGATACGAATGTCGAAGACTCTATTGAGGGCAAGACTAAGGAAGCAACAAGAAAGGTCCGTGTAAGGAGTCCTCATTTTCAGCAAAAACAAGAAGAAAAGGATAATTGTGACCAAAAGCAAGATTCCTTGGTCGAAGATGATTTTTCAATTGGTGATCATAAAAGTACCTTATCTGACAGTGCTTCAGGCAAAGTTGAAGATAAGGGGAAGACTGCAGAGATAACAAGAAAGGTCCTTGTAAGGAGTCCTTCTTTTCATCAAAAGCAAGAAGAAAAGAATAATTGTGACAGAAAGCAAGATTGTTTAATCAAAGATGATGTTGCCACTGGCGAACATAAAAATACCATATCTGACAGAGCTTTAGGCAAAGCTGAAGATACTATTGAGGGAAAGACTAAGCAGGCCACCAGAAAGGTCCTTGCAAGGAGTCCCTTTTTTCAGCATAAGCAACTAGAAAAGAATAATAGTGATCAAAAGCAAGATTGTTTGGCCAAAGATGATGTTGCCATTGATGAACCTAAAAATACCACGACTGGCAACCATATGATGAATAAAGTCCTGAAAAGGAAGACCTCCCCTGCTGACAGTGCTCAAAGGGTAGGGTACTTTCACCTTTTTTTTCCTTAAAAAAAAAGACGGTTCCTTCAATTTTGTTTATGTTCTGATGGTTTTAAATTCCTTCAGGAAAACTTTCATCCCGGCAACATGCTTCCCGCCTCAACTCTTCCTGACAATGGTATAAATAAAATATAACAAATTTGGACACTCAGTCTTAGCAAGTATAATTTGTTTGTTGGCTCGCCTATTCTTTTCATTGTGAAATTGTTCATCATGTTTCAGGCAAATTTGATAAACTAGACCTTAAGTACTTAGTACCAGTTATATATTTACTGTCATAGCTAGTACCATTTGTCTTGCCAGTTCAGCAATCATGTGCTTTGTGTTTGTTGTCTTTTTCTCTCTCTTTTTAAATTCATCTGTTTGAAATTTTGTCTGCCACTGATTGTTATTATTGTATCATGATGATGCCTTTGCAACTCCAATAGGAGAGTCTGTATATATGCCGATTCCTTCCCTAAGGTTTTTCCCATTTTCATGGTGACTTCGCATTTCAAATATTTGCTGACTTAAAGCAAGTTTTACTTATATGTCAAATACTCATGGTCATTGGATCTAGATTGTAATTTTTCTATATTAATAGAAAGTCGTTATAGCCTAAGATTGAACGATTATGTGTTATCTGACTGAAATAAAACACAGGCTGCCTAAGAGAAGAATTATGAGCCATAAGTGTAGATGCTTGTCACAGAAGATCACATAAAACTTTGAATGCAAGAATCATGGGTTACACTTCTATGGGATAACAGATTGAACCCTTTGTTTCTTTTTCTGCTTATTTTTTATGTTGACTCAACAGAGAAATGTCAACAGTTTGACTTCACCTTCAGTAACTCTTAAAATTGTGAGTTGGTTTATGTATGGGCGTTTAAGACTTCTTAGGAGTTCTAAAGAATTTCTGACTTCATTACGCATGTGTATACTGCTGGACTTGCTGAAAGTGTGCTGGAAAGTTAATGCATGTAGGGAGAAAAAAAACTGCTTTTATCACAAGTAAATTGGAAGTCATATTCAATGTTATGATTTTTATTCTAGGCCATCAATGTTGTGAATATATTCATGTCACAAAGCCTGATATGTTCATAATTTAGCAATATCACAAACCTGAGGCTGTAGATGGATTATTAGACAAATGATCTCGAGGAACATGTAGGAAATTAGTCTGAGAGCTAATTATTGTGCATAAAAAATGTATATTCATGTACATTTCTCTTGCTTTTTTAGGGAGGAAAGTACTTAGATGAAGTTTCTCTGATTTTGTTAATTGGTTTAGATTGTTGGGATCAAAATTCTGATAAAACATTTACAGAGTGTAATCCTGAAGAGAAGTTTGGTGCAAATATTTCCCACCTAGACCATTACTCAAAAATATCGGAGAAATCTATGGAAAAATTTGCTGCAATGTTATCATCCTTCAGATACACTCCATCTGGTTCTCGTGCCAGCGGTCTCCGTGCTCCTCTTAGGGATGTTCAGAACACTTGTAACACCAGGTAATGAACTTCTGCCACAGCCCTGGAATTTATTTTCCCCGACTTCAGTTTCATCATGATCAGCTATTTTATCATAGGCCAAAACCTGTGGACTTTGAGCAATTTGCGTATGTGCCAAAAAAACAGAAGACTGACGGATTAAGTCGATGGGGCTAATTCAAGTTTAAGCAGAGATGTGATTGGCTAAGGTTTGTGTCATCTATTCAGCCATGGCAGTAACCTATATCAGATCTTTTTCCTCCCTTTAGTAGCAGAGTTAGATTGCTGATCTAACCTCCCATTTGCGTGTGATTCCTTTCCCTGTAGTGTTTATTCTTAAACACTCTTTTTTGGATCAATTTAGCTTCAGCTCATCATTTACAGTGAAAGTATTGGTCATGTCATGCTTCCACCTCCCTGATTGATTGTACTCAATATTCAGTGTAAGTGTACATGATACCATTTCTGTTGTATATCCAATTATCAATTCTTTACTGACTGATTGAAATTGAAAATGAAGTTAATCTCGTTACTTGTCATTCTTTTACTCTTTAAGGTCATATTAACATTAATATTAACATGCTGTGATAAAGTATGCAGTTTCAGGATGTATAACATTATCCATAAATGGATCAGACAGGATTTCAAGTTTTCATTAGAACACCAACTATCTGCTTTAATTGAGTCATAAATACATGGCTGAATTGATTGAATCTATATTTTTTGGTTCTCGCTTCACTACTGGCTATAGGTAGAGCTTGGTTTTTCTATTGTTAAAGATTATTCAAATTTGACTTTTAGACAGCTAAATATTTCGTTTTCTTATTTTTTAAGATTAAATCGGTCAAACTTGTTAACGAAATATTATTTGTCATTTGGTATTGTTTTTCTTTTTTTAAAGAAAATTGATATCAAAATTAAGTATATTTAAATTATCTAGATTTTATTTGAGCAGTTTAAATATTGCTTGACAAAAGCAATGCCCTCTGTCACTTTGACTAATGAAGTATCTGTTTTTTTTTTTTTGGTGACAAGGGACCAATAAAGTATCTATTTTAATATTGATGATAGTGTGAATTTTATATTTTTCTCACTGTCAAAAACTGAAAATGAATTTTTAATATTTTAAAAATTGAATACATCAGTTACACACACAATCATCTTCTAACTTATCTTCATTTTTCAGTTTAATTATTTGTCATCAAGTTTTGTCGATGAGTGAATCTCAAGAGATGTTGGCCCAAAAAATCTCGAGATGTGAGCCCTTGATAAATGAAAACTCACAATTTTGCCACATAATAAATGAAATGATATACTTTGAATGGTTTTTAACTTTTTATAATGTAATATTTGGTGTTAAATACTTTCAATTTTTCCTTTCTCTTTGCAGGCAGAATTATATATTTATATTACTCTACATTCATATTGTGGTCTATGAATCAAAATTAAACATTCATCATCATTTGATTTATTCGACGGCTTAAATGTTCTTAAATTTGAGAAATTTTAGATAGTAAATTTTAAAGGATTTGATCATGCTTGCATTTAGTTCAATAATATGATAAATTTCATATAGTTGTGTCAAGAAAAGTTAAAGATCATAATTTATTTTACCTTGTGATGTGTTATGGGTATAAATATATATTATGAATAATCCATTTAGCATTAAAAAAGTTAAAAAAAAATTAATGTGCAGATGTTTCTAGTTTTCCTTAACTTTGAATTAGGTACCTGTAATTTATTTTATTTAAATTAAGAATTTATTGTTTAATTCATTAGATATGTCAATCCCTTAAGGTTAAAATTACTAATGAATAACTAACTTTTTTAAAAAAATATTTTTGAAGTTTATAAAAAATGAGTTAATAATGTGTTTACATTTTTATTAATTTTTAATAAAATTCTACATCTATAAAATTACTTAAAAGACAACTAATTATTTAAATATTGAGTTGTAAAAATTATGCAATTAATTTTAAAGTTATATAATCTTTTTAATAAACATATAAAAATCCTTAATTTAATTATAAAAATTTAAGAATTTTAATTTACAAGGATTAATGAACTTAACAGATTAAATTAAAATGACTCAATGAAAATAAAATAAATTATAAAGATCTAATTTAAAATTAAAAAAACATAAGGACATGCAGTTATAGTTTCTCAAAAAATTATTTAGGATGGAGAGGAAAGGAAGAGTTGGCGAAAACGAAGAGAAGAGAGAAGAAATGAATGATACGATACGGATACATCACGAAGTTGTCTAGAAGATAAAGTCACGAAAGATGATTGGATATATTATCAAACAAAAATAAGTAAAGACAATTTAAAACTCCCACATTCACGTCATATTGTTAAATGAAAAAAAAAATCATTATAAAAAATTTATATTAATTAAGAATTAGTTGATATCAAAACTTAAATAAAAAATAAATTTAAATAAATTATTATTAATTTAAAATGAATTGTTAAAACTTGAATGAATATTTGTTGAAAAGAGATTAATCAAAAAAAAAAAAGTATCAATTTTAATTTTAATAATAAATGATTCTTAATTAATATAAATTTTTTTTAATGATCCTTAATTGCTATTTTTTCTCAGAAAAGGCACAGCATATGCCACATACATTGCCTTTGTTGAAGAGGTCCTCCAAATTTAAATTACTAAATTATTTTATAATGATAGGACCCACGTGGTTTAGAGGTGAGATGCCTCACTTTATTCGTTTTTTATCCCTCTAATTTTTTTTTATATAAACATATAAAGAATAGGCTTTGTCTATTTAATTGATGAGAGGCTTCACTCACATCAATTATCATTAGCTTGAGCCTCATCCTTTGAAATATTTCTATGAATTGAGTCTCGATTCACTAATATATATATATATATATGATATTATACTTGAGTAATGGAATAATTGAATATATGCAAAAAAAAATAAAATAAAGGGCAAATTGTATTGAAGGATCGCGGAAGATCATCAATTATGAAAAAAAACTAAAACATTCTAAAATTATTTTGAAGTATGTAACGTGATATCTGACAACAATATTGAATTCCATTGAGTGTTGCTTGGTTAATTTAAATTATTTTATTTTCTTAGTATCAGTAAGAATTATATTTCATTGAGGGTGTTAAATTCAACTAGTCAATGTAATTGAATCAGTTTATTACAAAATCTTGAATCAAAGTTTTAGGATATACAATCATATTAAATAAATATATTAAAGACATTCTCAAAATATGAGATTATCGTTGATAATAACAATTTTAAATAGTAAGGGTTCATATTAGTATGGGCAAAAGGTGGTAATATCTTCAGGTTTCTAAAGATATTAAGTGATGAAATAAAAAAAAAAAAACTGATTATCTTCCACCAACAATAAAACTTATCTCCCTTAAATCTTAACACCTAAGTAAAAGAGGTAAATTCCTTTGAACTAGATGTTCCTATGTATACAAATAACGTTAAGAATCGAACCTCTAATAGCAAATGAGTTATTGTCACTCATACTAACATCAATAGGTACCAATATACTACTTTTCAATGCATCCTCCAATTCAAAGGAATAGCACCAAGTCTTTGGTTCACTTTTGCCTACACGAAACTTTCTTTATCTTTTTTCTCTCACCATCCATCCGTTTCCTTTATATTGTGGAGAAAGCAACTTAAGATATTGTTCCCAAGAATTATGCTCTCCCCATGATTCCAAATCCTACTCTTCCAAGTGGTGTGTTTGGACTTTGAATCCGTGAAAATTTATATTTGAATCCAAATTTTTTATTTGAATACGTAAAAGTTGTACTAAATTCATATTTTATTATAACTTATTCCCTCTGTTTAAAAAATGTAAGGTATTTTTTAAAAGTTGGATGTTCAAAAATATGAGGCGTTTTTAGTCTTTTGATGTATAATCATTACCTTTTTTTCAAAAGTACCCCTATCGATAATGACTTTATATTTATTATAAGGTATTTAATAGAAGTAAATATAAAAAAATAAGGTCAGTTGAAAGTAAGTAACTACTTTATTAAGGGTAAGATTCAGTTAAAAATGCTTACATTTTTAAACGGAAGGATTATTTATAATTTAATTTTTTTTTTGATCATGGTTATTTAAAATTTTAATTATTTTGATATTTTTTTATTTTTTTTCACATTTTTACTATTGGTGCCTCTGTTACTTTTATCTCTCCTTTTATCTTTCATTCTCACATCTCATTTATTGAAAAATAAATGCAAGTTTGTCATTCCTAATCTTTTGTTTTTGTTTTTGTTTTGAATTTCAACTCGTCTCTCTTTTACTTTTAAAATTTTTTACATTATTCAAATTTATTTTAACACATGAATTTTAAATGTGAAATTTTAAATATAAAATTTAAATTTAAATCCATCAACCTAAAGACAAATATAAATATATGTATGCGTATACATAATTTCCAACATAAAATATCTCTACACCTATCTTTCTTCAACTAAATAAAAAAAATGCCTATTAAACACGGATGATTAATACTTTTATGTTTACAATTTAAGGGTTTGGAGGGAAAAAAGTCATATTGAAAGCCTTGTTCTTATTTAGCTCTCACAAAGCTCGAATATAACATGATATTATTGGATTTAAGATAAGTAAATAACAAAAAAATCTCTTTCAAAATAGAAAATATTGCTTCAATCCAAATTGTAAGACATCTTTTTTCAACTAAATTTAATCTAAAATATAAGGCACTAGGTATTTTTGTTAAATTATCTTTTCTAACATATACTCTTATGTTAATTAATGTGTGGCATGAGAAATACTCATCCTGAAATTTAATCCTTATTGTAATACATTTCTAATTAATAAAGTTATTAACTTTATTAATAAACTTTCAATTTTATAACCCTATTTAGCTAAAAAAAATTTAAATTTGTATTACATTCTTCTTCATAATTGATGAATTTAAATGGGAGTAACATTAAAAAAATGTAATTATTAATACTCTAATCAAGTATCTTATAATAAAAACAAAAAATTCTCTAAAAGGGAATTTCATAAGAGAGACTAAAAGCCGTGTAACCTAACTAAACACTTCTTCTCATTTTTCATAATAAAGAGATTGAGGATAAAAAGGAGAAGGTGTGTCATTTTTTTTTTCCCATGAAAGTAAGAAAGTAACTACTTTCATTGATATGTAAAATATTATTAAAAGTGTGTTACAATTTAAAAAATTCAAATTTATTATCCTCCTTGTAGGAATGGATATTGGAGCTGCATTCTTAAAATCCTTGTGCGTAAGGATGGATCAATTCTTAATAAATAGTTAATAATTGATAAATTAAACATATAAAGATGATGCCATTTTATTAATGTTTCGCATAACATAATAAAGGTAATTAACTAAAAGATAAGTAATGACAATGACATTTTAAATGAATTATATCGACGCACACATGCAAATACAAACAACACATGCAAAAACGAAGTTCAGAATCTGAAAGGAAGTTAAGTGATGAATAATTCAATATCAGAGCCAATAATTTCAGAAGTCAATTAGTGAAATATGATTGAATAACCTTAAAAGCAATCCCAGATCGTGGACTTTAATATCATCATCCGCATATCTCAAGGTCGGTCACCGAATTTTTTAGTATTTTGAGATTAATTATTAACATATTGTCTCCAGTGTGAATCACATTTTCTTGGGAAACAAACAAAGTGTCAATATAAAATTAGGACATTTATAGACCTAGTAAGATCATTAATTACAATGAAAGACCGTAAATGTTAGAGAATTTTTTCGGAATAATTTAAAACAAATTTGAAATAAGAGTGAATTTTCAAATGAAACCAATATTTTTGGGCAAGAGTTGAATTTGAAACATAATAGTTTTCTTAAGAGAGAATTATATATATATATATATATATTAGTTAAGTCTTTGATTAATTTAAAGGATTGATTATTAATTCAATTAAGGGGCAAATCTATGGTCAAGCAGGATATTTACGGAGCTACCGCAAACTCAAATTGGCACAAATAAAGTCTTTGTTTCATGCGAGAATTAAAATATATTTAATATAATTTATTTTTGTTTTATGTCTTCCTTTCATCGTAAAATTAAAAGTGAAAAGAAAAAAAAATTAAAGAAGGACAAAAAGAAAGATCATGTGGCATATCGCTTATGTCATCTTAAAGATCATGATTTTTTTTTTTTTGATTAACTTGGAAAATAAAATCAAAATAAATTTGCATCCCAACAACCACACACATGGGCCATAAGATTAAATTATAAACTTAGAGGTTAAGCTAGAGTTTACTTTCATTAAACTATAATATCTACTTGACTTTAACAACTTGTTTCCCCAAAGTGACAAGAAAAACTTCGAGATTTTCATAGTTAGAATAATAATGATTATAACAAATCATGAATGTTAATATCATTATTTTATTTATAATAAAGCATATTACTTATAAGCTAAGAATTATGTAAAGAAATTTTAATTAGAGTTCAACAAATACTGAGTTGAAATCTCACACAAAAATAATGTAAATTTATTTCTAAAGTAAACTTTAAAAATATTTTAATTGTGAGGACTACATACTTCATCATTCAAGTGTGCTTGCAAATTAAATTACATATGGACCTAAAAATACAATTGAAAACTTAACGTATTTTCAAGTTTTTGAAGTCATATACGTTATTATTAACATTAATTAAGATTGTTTGCAATCAGTCGTTGAAAAAATAAACAAGACTTTAATTTATCCTGGTTGGCCAAATTGGATAAGATCCAAAGAACTCTCTCTTACATTATTTTAATTTCAAGAACAAGTAAACGGATAGAGTTTGTAAAACTTGAACACGTTACATATTAATTGGAGAGACACAATGGACTAAGTAATTCCGCGTTTTTTAATTTAATTAATTCTTTCTTTTCTTCTTGTATAATGTTGAGTCACTGTTTAGCATGGAATATGAGCATTTCTTTTAACAAGATTTTTTTTATCATATTATAAGAAACTAGTATTTTTTGCTAATTAAATACAATCTATTGGTATTCAAGTAATCCTTTATATTCTTATTATAAAAATTTTTCGATGATCCAATAAGATCTTTTGCATTCCGATCATGTCTTGGATATAATTGTTTCTAATAAAAGGTACATAAATGCAATCAAAAATACATTATTTTTTAAAATGTACTTTATCTTAATATTTCTTAATTAGCTAAATAACATCATGAGTCATGACTAACTAAACAATCTTCTTTAATTATTTTGAAGTTTTAGAAGCATTAATTAATTTTAATTGAATTTTTATTCTATATAGATTAATTAAATATTTTCTCTCTTCAATATTATAAGATATTTTTAATTAAGTTACGCCCTCAATAAATTAGTTAATTATTTTTAAAACTATATACTCTTTTCATGTTTATCATTATTAAATATAATATCTTAATTAAAAATTATTATTAATTACAACCCTAATTAAAAATATTTTTCAAAAAATTTCATTAGTCGTACCTTACAAATTCCAAAATGTTTTATATTTTTAATTTGAGAGAATAAATCCTTAGAATAAAAACTGGAAGAATAATTAATAACTAATATCAATGAACATACATTGATTGAATGAATGAATGTCAACTTTTTAATGGCATAACCAACACGAAAGGTTCAAATTTAAATTTCTCATTACACGTTAATTAATTAAACAAGAGTTCGATCCCAAAATTACGAGGTTCCTTACGCAAAACCTGAAAATAATAGTTAAAATAAAAACAGTGAATAACGTTAATTAATTTTCCACAAAAGAAGACAAATAGTGTAAAATATAGGTGTCGTTTGTTTGCTTTTTTTTTTTTTTGGCCCTGAATAATAAACGTATCGTTTTCACTTTTATGGTAATACCACGATTAACGAAGACTCTAATATTGTCCCTTTCTGTATCTTTAACAACTAACCGCCTAATCATAGTTCTACCAAACCCATGTTCCTATTTATTTCGTCCCCTTCTTCGAAGTTACCAGTACCTCCACGCATAGTATATAAAAGGATAGAAGAATAAATTGTTTTTTAAATTATAATTTTAGGAGCATTTGTAATTTTAAACTTATTTTTAATATAAAATTTTTTTTAACTTTAAAAAATAACAAAAAAAGACCAATAAAAATTTCTTAATCATTTTTTGTAATTTTATAGGTTCTTGCACACATTTTTCTGTAATCTTTTGAGACAATTCTCATAATTGTTTAGCCATCTAATAGTTATAATTAACTTTTCTTAACGATAAAAAGCTCAATTGCTCTGTTTTTAAAAATTGAATGGGAACATTGTATTAAAAATAAAATTAGAGTCTCAAATACTCTTCAACCATAGTTTTAGGACCAATTTTCTCTTTTAGCCTTTAGAATGTTGTATCTATTGTTACTATTATATTTTTCTTGCCTTAATGTATAAAACATTTTTATAAAATTATACATGACAATGAAATTCATTAAATATAGCTTATAATTTTAACTTTTTTATAAACTTCTAAAAATATCTTTTATTAATAAGAGAGGGGGAGAGAGAGAAATAATTATGTAAAAAGTAAAATAATCAGAGATAATATTTGAATAATTAGTATGAATGAAAATTTATTTTTGTCAAAATATTTTATATTTTAAAATACTAAATCACATTAAAAATGTCTCAACGAAAGGAGTAGTATAATATTAATAATTAAAAGCAAACAACAATTATCATAAAAGGATTATGATTATTTAAGCACATAATCTCGTATTTGAGTATATATATGAATCCAAAAACACATTTAAAAAAGATATTTCGAATTGGATTTGCTAATATTCGAATCTCATTCTATAGTATTGGATATCGGACATATAAAAAAAAGAATAAAAATAAATGTAAAATGGATATAGCAAGATAGCTTGTTTGGTTTGGTAAAGTTTTTCCTGCAAATATAATTAACGAGTAAAATTCACTCATTTTTTATTTAGCTAAATCTTTAAATTATATATAATTTTGAATGACTTGAAAATTTATAATTTTTAGCATCAAATAAATGCAGTACACTGATTTCTTATAAAAACAGAGAATATACTATATTTTTTATATGTCGTAATAAAATTAATTATTAAATTTTGACAATTATATTTCTATTAAAATTTAATATTATTTTTAGAATATTTTAGCTATATCTAGTTTGAGGAATTTTTTATTCATAATATAGAGAAAAAATCACATAATAATTTTAGCACTCTTAGGAGTCAACTTGAGTAACTAATTTTTCACCGTAAATTATGGTAAAAAACAGATTAGATACAAACATTGGCAAAGATTAGGATTAGCAAGTAAATTAAATTTTCATGCGCAACTTCTTTTTGCCTTAGGCGAAGAAATCTCCATGGATATATCCACGGAGTAATTTTCATATTTCTATCATTTAAAAAATTAATATTATACAATAATTATTTTTTATTTTTCATACTTAACATTGTTTATTAGTAAGTTAAAGCTATTCAGATCGGATCACTTAGGAATAAAATAATCAAAATAATACGTCGTCAGATATAATACAGTATGTGAGGAAGGATTTTGGTAGTTTCCAGAGATTTTAATTAGATGGATTATCCATAGAAAACTACAAGCTTAATCAAACCTGCGATCTACAAATCCACAAGCAAAACCTAATTAAGCAAATACTCTGAGAAAGTGAAATATCAGTTATATAAAAACAAAAGCCCAAGATCAATGAGTATTAAGCAACAATAATTAGTTCAATTCTTCTCTAGTCTCTAGTCAATGTATCTGTAACTTTTCTTCTCTTGTTACAATCTGTAAAACTTCTAAACATTCTCGGTAATTTAGAAAAATAGGTCATTGAATAACTCTTAATTAGTAATTATATGCTTCTTGAAGCAATTTTTCTATCTCATTTTCCTTGATTTTCCCTGTCACCAAACACTATTTTGGAAGCAAAATGAAACAGTTACGCCTCCAAAAATCCAGTCATTCTCAGAATTGAATTCCGAACTTGACTCAAATCCCGTCCCTTCAAGGTCCTTCCGTTCCCCGTACACACCGAGAACGCCATTTTCCTGGCGATTCTCCGATTCACGATTACGTACGGCGGCACCATTCCTTCGTCCTTCCATTCCTCCTCCAGCTGGTCATCGGAATCCGTTCGCCGGAAAATCCTCTCTGGTATATTCACCGGCATCGAATTCGCCATCTCCTTCTTCTTTTCCTTCTTCTTCTTCTTGCTTCTCTTCAACTTACTCCGCCGTGAATCCAGCTCCGTCTGCGAAATGCCAATTCGATCGTCATCCTCACCGTCGGAACTGGCGGTACGGTGAGGATTCATACAGTAACGATCGGAAAATATGACGTCGGCTTCTTGGAATTCTTCAGCCATGAGAGAGAAAGAGGAGACCGAAAGGCTTTTCAAGTTTGAAGGTTTCGAAATGAAACAGTGAAGGTTGGGTTTTATAGTGAGAGAATTGGAAAGTCGTAGTAAACACTTTGATTGGCACACCGAATATGTTGTAAAATGGCGTCATTATGCATTTTAATGACTTTTCAATGTGGTCCCTACTTCTCTTTCATTTATAGTAATGGCCCACAGATTTTCTTAATTACTTTTTTTTAGAATAAAAAAAAAATTGTTCCCTATTCTAACTTGTATCATTGGGAATGCCTAGTTCCTTGTAGATTAATACTAGTAGTAGCTTGACCAGCTTGGTTAGCAGCTTTAATTGATTTTTTTTTTGGGTTCATTAAGTTTAATAAGTTTTTTTAATAATATTATTGAGTGAATTTTTTAACAAGTCTAGATTCATAGTTTAAATAGCAAGCAATTAATAGGTATTTATTTTGAGGTTTTTAAAAAATTGTACCTAGATAAAGAACTGTGCTTAGGTGCTGTTTTTCTTTACTCAATTTCTATCATTAGGTTCATGCATGCCTTGCCTCTTAAGAGTTAACATTACCATTGTTTTCAATTATTATGCAATAATTATTAAATGTATAATAATATATTAAAATTGTCAGTACATCGATATCTTAAAGGAATTAATATAATTTAATTTTTTTGTAACTAATGAATAAATATAGATATAGTTCATCATTCCTACAGTATATACTACTATATTTCATATATTCAAAGAATATTGTGTAGATCGATTTAGAATTTTATATCGCATGGTAAACAATATCACTTTGGATCTCTTCATTTGTCATTGTTTACTGGTTAATCTCATTCTCATCAATTAAATAAAGAAATTAATTGAAGAAAGATGAAAGACAAGGGAAGAAACTCACTCTAAAATTTTACTAGTCTTTTAGATACGATATGATGGTATCAAATATCAATTAATAAGAGAAAATCTAATATTGGCAGCACTTTTCTTTTTATCATTTATAGTTATTCTTTCATTGAAAGCAATCCTATTAAATGCATGGCCAAATACTAAATATGAAATTTTTTTTAATAGAAATTTAAATATTAATTTATCATTATATGAGAAATAGTCACTTTCGCTAGATTCAACTCTCACAAGTGACACTTTTTTGGTAGATGAGTAAATTACTCCCTAAAGTTTAAGTCTAGTAGAATCATAAATTTTAAACTCGTTTATTATGCAAATTATATCTTAATTTTTGAAAATGATATAATCTTTAACTTTGATCATTGGCTAATAAAGAAAATGATAGAAACATACATCAAAAATTATAGAAAAGGACTAATTTTTTTTGGTAATTTTTGAGTCCTTGTCTATAATTTTTAATCCTTAAATTTTTTTGTCACATTTTTTATAATTTTTATGTCTTTTTTTGTCATTTGTTAATCAATTAATGATCAAAGTTAATTTTTATTAATAGTGAGAGCTAAATTGCGCCGTTTTTAAAAATTGAGAGACTAATTTATACAATAAATGAATTCAGGATCTATGGTGTGCTACTAAACCTAAAGTTTAAGAGATAATTTATTCATGCATCCTTTTTATGCCAATACTAAAATTGGCATAACATTTTTTTTATCTAAAATCTTATTTTCAAGCTAAATCTACTGTCATGATATTTTTTCCTTCACAAGGTTTGAACATTTGACTTTGATGAAGGGATTTTTCATCGAGGTCCTTCAATTTGACTTGATTATCTAACAATTTACAGACTAATTTGTTTTAATATAAAAATTGGAATGGATAGAAAATACAATATCTGACATTATAAATATTTTAATGATTAAGAAAATAAATTGAAATAAATAATTTAGGTAGGACTAAATTAAAAAAAATCTTACCATATATGTTGAAGAATTCATAAATATACATATATATATATATATATAGAATTTTCTTTATTCAACAAAATTGAATAGATGAATTTAAAAATTTTAGATATGCATTTGTATGTATGAATATGGCATATTATCCTGTGGCCAGATGTGAATTAATTCCAAACAAGGCAAAAGGTGGATGTGAAATGAATAATAATGGCTTATTCATAAAGCTTACTATGAAGACAGTCAAAGCATGAATAAATGAGCCAATAAGGCTTCACAAAAGGTTCAACGTTTCTTAATTTCTCTCGAAATGGGAGACGAGAAATGGAAACGAGAGGTCTATACCGTTAAGGAAAGGATAGCCACGACACCAACGAGTGTCTAGCTCAATAGCTTGGCTGCTGTGTTGGCTTAATTATTTTTACCTATCTTTTATTTTCTAAGACATTTTTTAATTCAAAATTACGAATAATAATAAAGTCAATCATCAAATATAATTCGAAATCTTTATACTTATTAAAAATATAAACTTTTAAAATTATTATTTTCTTTTTTAGTAAGGAAGGGAAAAATAATTATATTCACCTCATGTTTAGTACATACAGAAACAAGAAATGTACCTAGAAAAAAAATAAAATAAGTCCATTTTTATTTTTTTAGAGAATATTTTTCTGTCTGCCAAATAGTGTATTAAAAAGTGAGATAATGAGGAATAATTTTGGAATAAGATTGGTCAACGAATCATTATTTTTTCAAAATATTTTATATCATGGAACAAGAAATCACTCTAAAAAATATCTTGTAAAATAGGGTAAATGGAGTAATTTTTTGAATTTAAGTCTTGACTATATAATTATGTTAAAAATTTATCTGGAAAGTTTTGCAACTCTTGTCATATAGGAGTTTATTTCAATAAATTGGAGTGTAATGTAATTTTTGGATATTGGATAATTTGATATTAAAAAGAAAAAAATATGCTACATGGTAGCAAGAAAACATTTAATGGTTAAAATTCATTAATTAATTATCAACATTGACAGCATGGGGCAACATTATGCCAACTTGAAAAATGTTAGGGGCTTATGCCAAAAAATAAAAAATTAAGGATATAAAATGTGTTTGCATAGAAACTTTGAAAGTAAATTTATATCTTAATTTTTTTTAATTTTTGTTCTGATTTACAAACCATCTTAGCATGTGGCAAGTCGTGTGTGACCCCAATTAAGGATATATTTATCTTTTGATATAATTTTTTAAATTTCAGTATCTAATATTCCCTCAATTAAAAAATAAAAGGTATTTTTTGAGGAATTAGATGTTAAAAAATATAAGATATTTTTAGTCTTTTAAGGTATAATAACTAATCACTGTATTTTTTTCAAAAGTTTTCCTATTAAATAAATCACTTTATATTTATTTTAGGATAAAATACCCTATTAAATAGGGATAAATATAAAAAAATAAAATTAATTTAAAGATAAGTAACTATTTTATTGGAGTAATATTCAGTTAAAAATATTTTATATTTTTCAACAGATGGAATATCTAATTTATCTAATCTAATCTTCTCATTTAATATGTTATAAGATTATAGAGGCACCTTCAAACAAGTTGAATATGCTTTTATAATCACATTCCATAAAATATTAGTATCTATATAATTTATATTCATAGACTTTTTTTAGCCAACAATTTATATTTATAAATTGACTGTATATACATAATAAAAAATAATAAGTGTAAAATTGAACAATATCATAGACTTATAGTTTGATATCACCGCTTTTATACGACTATTTTGATTTCTGATGTTGCTGAATTTGATTCTAAAATGTGACTTGGGCCCAACAATTTGTTATACGTGGATAACGTGATTTGGATGGCTTTAAATTAAACGTCATCACAAACAACACTTTATTATTATTATGTTATTTTTTGAAATGAAGGCAAATATTATTATAAATAAAACGGTTACAACCAACTTTATTGAATTGAAGATAAATTTTTAAAGTGACTTTTTTCTGATGGTAAGGAAAAAAAGTGACTTTTTTTTTCCTTAAAGTTTGAATATTTAGGCTTAATTGGGATGGAAATAAAATTAAAAAAATTAAAAATAAAAAGGATATGGAGAAAATCAGGTGGAAAAAGTTTCTATAAATATAAATTTTTTAAACCATCTTTAAGAGTTTTTCCTTCTAGTTTTTTTTTTTCCCATTTTTCTCACCACCTAAATTAAGGGTTAATTTTGTTTAATAAATTAAATAATCTCTACTCAATCTAATTAAATATCCTTGATTTGTCATCATATAAGTTGTTTAAGATACATGATTGATGTAGCATGTAAGTTTCCCTGTAAGTAAAAAGTTGAGGGTTTGATTCTGCTTTTAATATTAGATTATTAGTGTCTACCTTTTCAATTAAAAAAAATACATGATCAATGATTTTATTAATATATTTTCAAAAAAAGATGAATTTATTGATACAAAAAATTAATCTATTAAACATACAAGAATTTCAGAGCAAGGCAAGGCAAGGAAGGTTTTGGAGATTAAAAATGGTTAACAATGGCGTACTCCAAAGAAGCGGACAAATGAAATTAAAAAAAAAAAAAAACTCTGAAGTAGTTGCTTAAATATTAATTAATTAATTAAAAGGAGCAAGTGGATTATTCACCAACTTTCTTCTTTCCTTCTTCCTCCAAGCTACTCATCACCTCATTGCAACTTCAAATATTGTGGGGATCGCAACAATTTTTTTAACACAAGGACTATGTTTTGCAATAGTCTATCTAATATTTTTTTCAGAGTATCAAGGGTAATTTTTCCTAATTAAGTTGATACATACACAGTTGGCAAAAAAAAAAAAATTGATACATACACAACAAAACACATTTTATTATAAAAATAATTGTGATTAGCTTAGAATAAGAATTAAAAACCAACATTAACTACTGTTTTCTCCTACACAATGTACTCGAGAGACGGAAAAATGAAAATGTAAAGCATAAATTATTATTATTATTATTATTATTTTGTACAGGGATGACAGCAAAATTTTATGGGAGAATTATTGCACGGTCCCTTAGAAACATTCTAATTACTAGAAAGTTTCCACCAAATACAATGCAAGGTCCCTGGATCCTTGGTTGCAAATAAGATTAGCATCCAATTACCAAATTGGCCACTACTTTTCCGGCCTCTCTTCACAGTCTCTTTCCTTCTTCTGTCTCACTTTCCACGTCAACATTCTTTCTGATATATTTTTTAAGTTATTTTGTTTATTAAAAAATCTAATTTAACACTCATTTAATAAATAGTATAAATTTAATGAGGTTAGTGGAGCTATAACAACGTTATGTTGTTATAAAACTATAAGAACTTACAATATATGTATAGAAGTTTTTTTTTTACCAACATATATATATAAAAGTTTAAAATGATAAAAAAAGGAAAAATATCAGTAAAATTTATTTAAATTATGTAAATAATAAATTGGTCTCACGAAATAACATGATTTTTCTGGAGTCTTATGCAATATTTTTGTCATTAGAGAACTATAAGAAAGGATAATTTTACCCTTTATTCAAATTAAAAAAAATTGCAAGTTTTCATTGACAATTTTTATTCATATATTAACAACTTTATTTCTAAATTTGCAACAATTTATTAGCTATTCCCAAGTCCTGATCTGCAGGTCCTGATATTCATCAAGTGTTGAAAATTTGTAACTTTTTATTGACAATTTTTATTCCTATATTAATAACTTTTGTTTTTATATTCATAACAATTCAATAGTTATTTACAACTTCGCATATGTAGGTTCTAATATGCATCAGATGTTAAAAATTTATAACTTTTGTTCTATATTAATAACTTTTATCTAGATTCACAACAATAGAACAATGAATTATAATTTATTAGTACCCTCTATAAATTGACTACATCATCAAAAATAAATTACCACTCTAATTCAATAAATAACAACTTTTATTAATTTAAATGATAAGAAAATCTTAAAAGGTGACAACTATTTAAGATTTTTATTATCAATTACATGATCTATAACTTCCATCAAAATACCTTACAGTTTTTTTGACAAAAATATATGAAGGATTGAATTTTCTAATGTCATTCCTTTTCTTATCATTTTTATCCTCACATTTTCCCATCATTTGTTTTTTACCTTCAATATTTTTTACCAAATGTCTCTTTATGTGGAAATAATAAAATAGTTACTTTTCAAAACTAGAAGCAAAAGAAGTCATTTCTCATGCCAACTTGAAACAATGAAATAGCCATTCATCAATATGTCTATTTTTTAAATATCATAATCACATATTTGTTATATTTTATTCAACAACAACTATTCATCTTATATTCACAACTTTGGTTTATGCATTTACAACATAACTGAAAATGATATATCATTTATTATTTATCCATGAGTAAGCATTTATATCCATGGATAGCAGAGAAAAAAAAGACCGCAATCATGAAAAGAAAGTGAAGAATTCAATCATTTACGTGCATTAACTCACATTAACTTTAACTATCACATATGGAAGGAGAAATTTTTAAGGAGGAGAAGAAATTTACTCATGTACAGCATAGCTAATAGAGGAAGAATGATTGCTTACATATGCCCATGTACAACAATTCAACAAAAGAAATCACCCTACACTCAGAAACTTAAAAAGAAATAAGATAGACGAGGAGGAGAAGAAAAGAGAAGGATATGGACTAGAAGAAGAGCACGAAAAAAAAAAAGAAGAGGAGAACAAGAAGACGAAATAGAGGCAAAAACACGTGAGAATGACTATGTATTGAAGCTTGAGGTTTTTGTTTTATTTAAAGGTAATTTGATCATTTCTTTTAATTTTCAAATAATAGAAAAATCTCATGATACCTTGAGAGAATTATGACATTTTGTAAAATCAATCTATTATTTATATAATTTAAATAAATTTTTTTATCATCTTTCCAAGCAAAAAGTACAAGACTGATAAAAAAAGTCATATTCGGTTATAAAAGTAGTGTTTTTTCCACAAAAAAAAAAGAAAAAAAATCGGTGGCGTTTGGAAATTGCAGGTTATTGAAGGAAAATCTAGCTGCTGGAAGGAAGAACGAACAGGTTAGTCGACCGTACAAAACGAAATTTTTACCGAAACGGGATTGTCGTCCACTTGCTCAAAATTCTCGTCATTGCTGTTTTGCACTCTGAAATTTAGACAACACCCGCTCGGAATCATTGAGTGATCCTCTATTCATTCACAACATTCAATTTATCTGTTCTTCTTTGGGCTTTCCAGAACTGAACCAGAAATAAGTCTATAGCTGGAAGGAAATTGAACTTAACCTTTGTGGCAAAAGGCATGATTATTCATCTGAATTTTACTTAAAACTTTGATTAGCTAGTTTAAATCCAGTGTCATTCGTTTTGGGTTTGCGATGTTAATTGCTAGTGATTCTGCTGGGCTGTCCCGGGGAGATGCGGTTTAGTTGTTTGATAAAATGCTTGTGTGTGGTGTTTGTGAAAATGGGTTTCTAGCTATATGTTTTCTTAATGTGGCAATTTGAACTTGAATCATTCTTATGGATATTATTCCCTAAGCGACTATTGGAGGATACTACAGCAGTTAGCTAGTACTTTATTAAGACTATTTTTGCCTTGATGTTTTTGTTTCAATTGTGTTTTTCGGGCAGGTATGTTCTTTTGGGTTTGTTGAGGAATTCTGCTCATTAGGTTTACAATGATGAAGCCTTTTTCGTTTAACATAATCTGAGATATCGAGTGAGCGTAGTCTAAAGATTAACAGAAGTATGATGCTTATTAAATGTGGAAATTCAATTTCTTGTCCGAATCTCTCTTCAGCAGTATATCAGGTAATGGCCTGTGCCGTGTGATCTAATATTCTAGTTGTTCGAGAGAACCACTTCATGATATAATGCTTTTGATAGAGTATGGACACTAGTAGAATGTTGCTTCAGACTAAGGCAGAGATTGGAGCTCTACTGTTTGGTTATAGAATCTCAAAACTGAGAATATCTGTCTTACACAAGGTACAATGTTGACCATCAAGGAAAATACATGAGAGAATAATTATTCCTTTTATGTAGCATTTTGACTCCGTTATGATTTGAATATTAGGATTATGCTTGTTTTCATTGCAGGAAAATTCTATCAACAGTGCATTAGCTGTTCCTTTGATCCGATCATCTCGTAGCCATAACGAAAGAGCACTAGGTAGACCCAAAATGCTGGAAAAGTAGGTTATCCTATTTTCCTCTTAAGTTATTAGTTGCTATTCTCTTCTGCTTCTCATTTTGCATTGTACCATATAATTCATGCTTCATTAAGTAATACTATAATGTGTGACAAGCCGCATGGGTCAAATAGGGTGTATTCCAAGTCTTGAGTATCATATTCCCGTTATTTCTTAATTTACTTGGAGTGCAGAAAGGGGAAAGGACGTGTTGGAAAGAAGGAGCACCACCTATGGCAAAGAAGAGATTCTGCTAAATCTGGGCAAAAGGCCCTCAGTCTTATCAGAATTGTATGCTTCTCTAGCCTGTTCACGTGGTTTAGAATATTCAAGTTGGCCTCCTCAAAATGAACAGTATTTGGTATTAATTCAAGCAATAAACAAAAACACCGAAGAATCAACTAGACAGTAGTAGGAAAAAAGGTTCTGATCTTTCTTTGTAATTTGATTTGTTGTGCATTTCTATTTGGGAAATGTCAGGTGTCTGGACTCCCTAATGAAAAAGAGGCTGTCTATGGAGCATTGGACAAATGGATGGCTTGGGAGACAGAGTTCCCATTGATTGCAGTTGCAAAGGCTTTAAAAATCTTAAGGAAAAGGGGCCAGTGGGTGCGGCTAATTCAAGTATGACCTTTGTATCATGCTATATTCTTATGAATTCTTTTTGTATGTATGGCTAACATCTTCATAATTTTTGTGTGAGTTGAGTGAAAATGGGGCAACTGATGGTATTATTTTAGTAGTTAAGTTTATTTTATATATGTCTGAGTTGGCTTTACTCAGGGTTTTCTGGCCCTTGACATGAGATTGTTTCACCTGCGAATCAACAAAAGTTTGTTGTCAAGTCCTTAGGTAGTGAAATAGGTTAAAGAAAGATGAAATCGACTAACTTGAGGGATTCAGGATAAGGTTCTTTGTTCGTCTTATCAAAATTTGACCCCCCTGGTTTAGTGTCTGATTGAATCAAATGCCCAGATACCGTTATTCATTATGAAAACCAGCAAATTGACCTATTTGATTTAAGATCGTATCTAAATTGAATGCCCAGATACCGTCAATTTGATTTAAGCTCATTATGTTGACCATCAAGGAAAATACATGAGAAAATGGTCCAGTTTGTGTTCATATCGTGACCTATTGATCTAGATCTCATGTATGTTTTGTATATTAGTGTACTTGCAGTTTCAAGCAGTTGTGTTTTCTTCAAAATAATAACGTCTTATCTGTTAATATTAAGGAACGTAGTTATGTACTGGTCATTCTTAAGAATGTCGTTGTTTGCATGAGTGTGAGAAGACAAACTCATGGTGTTAGTGAATGGTTCTTTCACTCATTAGCCTTGATTATATGTTGTCTATATCAGTACGTCCGGTTATCCATGGGGATAGAAAATAAATCTTACTGGTTACTGATTCTCGATACTTCTAAGGTGGCAAAATGGATGTTAAGCAGAGGTCAAGGAACAACGATGGGGACTTATGACACTCTTCTTCTGGCATTTGATAGAGAACGGAGGGTTGAGGAGGCAGAATCATTGTGGAACATGATTATACGTGCCTGTACACGCTCTGTCTCGAAGAGACTGTTTTCAAGGATGATTGCATTGTATGATCATCATTATATGCCTGACAAGATAATAGAGGTGTCATTCTTTCCCCACACCTTTGCATGAATTTCTTAGCAGTCATCAAGTTTGACTCTTTGTACCGTGTCTAGCTTATGTTAGCTTGAACATAATGACTTTTATTGCATTCTTGTCTGTATGTTCAGGTATTTGCAGACATGGAGGAGTTGCGAGTAAAACCTGATGAAGACACAGTCCGCCGAGTGGCACGAGCGTTTGGAGAACTAGGCCAAGAAGAAAAGAAGAAATTGGTTATAAAAAGATATGGACTTAAGTGGAAGTATATTCATTTTAACGGTGAACGGGTTAGAGTGAGAACAACAACAGCATGGGATGAAGATGATGGATCAACCAACTGAAATGGGATTCTCTTTCAACGAGGAAACAATCTCATCCCGATCCGAGATACCTAGAAATGTAGGATTCTAGTGCAATTTAAGGTAACTGTATATGCAAAAAGTCATCAATTTGCTCTATGAAAGTTAGACGGATGGCGAAAATTCCCAAGGGTGCTGCTGATGTCGAATGTGTATAACTGTTTATGGATACCAATTAATTCAAGGAGCAAATTTGAATTTTGCTTTTTGACCAAAAGGAGTCCATTGGAATTGAGTATGAAATATCGCTCCTGATCAGGGATAATCCTTATATGAATTAGGGATGCTGTATGTATGCTAAAACTACTTGCTTATAAATTCAAAGTGTTTTTACTTACTGTGTTATTGAACTTAAGTGTATGACAAAACATGTAAATTATAGAAATTATAAATAAAAAATACTCATAACTATCTCAGATGTACCCTTGTAACTTCTGTCGAGAATTGTTTGAAAATATACATGTATTTTCATAATTTTTCCATCTACTTAATTTTGTGTCAATAACTTAATTCATGCAACTCTGTCCCCATGTTTTAGGTTAGAAAACATGCTGTTCGTTCGCCAATGGCATGCTTTTAGATTTAAAGTTGAGAAATGCCTTTTAAGTTTTAAGAGACAGTTGATCTTTTGAAGTAAGGATCTCTCTGAAGCAAGGAACTTAAAAAAAAAATGCCATCTTTTTTATCTTTAATTTTTGGTTAATTTTCACTTCGGAAGATCTACAATATTTACTTATATATAATACAATATTCATGAAAGTAGAAAATCTTGGTCATTTTCAAAGCATAAATCGAGTCCTCTTGATTTAAAACATCAGAGACACCAGAGAACAAAAATAAAAGTTGAGCAAGCAAACCAATCCCCTAATCTTAGCCCTATGAGCCTACCGCCCTTTCTAAATCCCAATCCTATTTTGCCTTTCCTTTTGTCTCTATCCTTAATGAATCTATCATTTGACTAACGTACAATTCATATGTAAAAAACAAAAGCCACCAAGAAACAGCCATAATAATATCAGAAACATTATCGAAAAGATACAGCAACTGTACTTCTAACAACGTGATGCTTGTAAGTCCAAGCATACCACCCAAAATAGTACTGATCTTCATCTGACTCAATCTCTGCAGGTGTTTGACCTCTTTTTGCCATCACTGTGATGGTGAAGTTCTTTTTCTGGCCAACATTTTCAAATTCCAGAGCATTTGGAGAGGCTAAGATGGTGTATTCCTTTGGTGACTTAGCACTGAACTTGTAGACACTCATGGGGCTGCCAACGTTTGTGACTGTTCTCAACACTGTCTTCTTGGTACCTCTGAGTCTGTGAATTTGAATGGATGGATAGTTGAGGTTGTTAGGATCAGGTAATGGTTTTGGACAGTGATATTTGAGATTTAATTCTTTGATTTGTCCAAGGCTACATGCGTGAAGAATGTAGTCTGTGTAGGAAGAATCATATATGAGCCCTGGGTCTGATGCTTTTAGGGGTTGGAAGTGGCCAGAACCATATGCGAATGGAGTTGCAGGTTTTCCTGTTTCATCTTTCATTGGCTCTCCCATGTTGTCTGTTGTGCTAGCTGCAGGAAAAAGGAGCATTTAACTTAACTGGTAATTAATTACTCGTGAGGTAATTGCATCCAATGCTGTAGATTTATCTTATACGTGTCTTTGGCTTCTCTACACATCATTTATTACAGATCATCTGCATATCCTTTTCTTGTTTGTGGAGAGAGAAGAAGTAGGAGAGAGTGATTATTTATTAATATTGGATGTTTTCAATGCTGATTTGCAGTGTGTAATAATTAGATAAGCCAAATCCCTTATATATAGATATGAAATGAGTTCAGGATTGGCCACTTATTAGGCCATCTTTTTCTTGATCTCATCTCAAACCCAAATTATAAATGTTGGATTTTTCTTAAACTCACTTTGAGTCCTGAATAAATATGAACTCACTCAACCTAAAAAACATCATACAAACAAAGTAGTGCTTTACGAGTCAAAATCTAATTGGACCACCTTATCCACACATGTATTAAACTTCAAGTGAGTTGTTAAAAGGCAGATTACCACATCAAATTTGAGAATGAATTTAGGTACCTGTGGTGATGAGAGCAGATCTGATAGCAGCAGAGGTCCAAGTTGGATGCATAGCTTTGAGAAGAGCAGCAGCAGCACTAATGTGAGGGCAAGACATGGAAGTACCTGAAAATATGTTGTACTTCACCACTCTGTAGTCTATATATGACATTCTTGTTGGTCCATCTGCTTCTGTCCATGCTGCCAATATGTCTACTCCTGGTGCTGTGATGTCTGGCTGTATTGTATTCCACCCCCAACACACAACAGGTTAAGTTTCTGGTCTTGTTCCACCCAAACTCTCATAAAGTGCATGTTTGGTACTTGGAAAATATGTTCTAAAAAAGAAATAAGAAATGTATATAAAAAGAATATGGGCCATGTGTATCTCCCATTTCTTAGTGTTTGCGCATGTGTGTGTTTTGGGCCCCCCGGGGGGGGGGGGGTCGTTGGTTTTGACTTTTGACGAAAACAACAAATAATCTTGTCTCACTAGACATGGATTGAATGATGTCATTGTTTTCTATTTTGAAAGACTGTATGCATAAAGAAAATATTACCTTGAGAACAAAGGGGTCAACAACATTAGGACCCCTGCTAGAGAAGGAGGCCAAAAGAGGAGCAGGTTTGGAGTTCAACACAGTGGTTCCAGGAAGAAGAAGAGCCTTGGGATCATTGGACGAACGCAGATACTGCAGAAGCTTGAGAGCATTATGGTACGACACACCAGTGGCTGCAACAAAGTGAGGATCACTTGGTACATCGTTCCCAAGTGCTTTGGAGTTTCCCAGAATTAAACCAACCCCCCCAGCTCTTCTCACCTCTAAGCCTTTGGCTAGTCTGCTACCTTTCCCTCTCATGCACAACACTATCTTCCCTTTAACCTTTTTTGCTTCCAACGAACCATCCAAGCAATACCTGCGTTTGTTTGTGTTTTTTTGATTAATTATGAATGATTAAGATTTGGTTTAGTGTTGAAGAATATGATTATATTATTATCACCCTGAGTTTTGTTGGGGGACGCGTGAATGTTCAACGTCTCCTGCATATACCAGTTTATGGAAGCTGCTTTTCATTTGCATTGGAGTGATTGATCGTCCCTGCAGTTGATAAGAACCGAGGTAAATGTTACTTGAAAATGCTAGTTAAATTAAATTTTCAATTGTTTTTACGCTTTGAACATTTATGAATTGAAATTGAGTAAAAGCTTATCATATATTTCCTCTTATTTTATTTATAAAATGTTTTAAACTTTTTTCACGCTCACCCATTAAAAAAAATTTGTTGTAATATTAAATTTGTCAAAAAGAAAATGAAAAGCTATTATATAATATTACAAAACACCTTATATTTTGGATCAATGATATCTTTTTTTTAGATTAGAGGAGTACATATCACCACGAAATATGGAGAAAAATAAATAAGTCATTACAAAAAAAAAAAGGGAGCTCCACTTCCATGCAGCTCATTTTTTTGTATATATTTAGAAATACTTTCCAGCATATTCAAGTTATAAAGTTGAAGGGATAAAAAATTCGGAGTATCAAATATTAGCTATTTTTTAAGATAATAATATGGCTTGTTATTAGTCATTTTTATTTTTTAACCATCCGGGGGGGAAAAAAGGAAACCTTAAAAAACAAATTAAATGAAGCTCGAAACAAACATATATATGATTAATTACCTCAATTCTTGTACCATTATGGAGCAAAATTGGAGCAAGAAAGGTCCGATCCAGAGTACTGGCACCAACCGTAATGACCCAGGGAGCCGGGTTGGACAAAGTCCGACCCGAAGGCCCAGAGTTGCCTGCACTGCAAGCCACCACAATGTTCTTCCTCGTAGCCTTCAACGCCGCTATCGCAATCGAGTCGTCTCTGTAAGGGACGGGTTTCGAATTCCCAATGGAAATGCTTAGAACGTCGACGCCATCTTCGATGGCGTCATCGATGGCTTTCAGCATGTCGACGTCCATACATGCGTTTCCGAGGTCCTTGGACTGCCCTTTGATTGGCCAGCAAGCTTTGTATATGGCTAGCCGAGCCAGCGGGGCTCCGCCGGATGCTGTGCCGTTAGCGAATCCTCCGAGGGCCGACGCACCTGGGACGGTGCGGCCGGCAACGATGGAGGCTGTGTGGGGTTCCGTGGCCGTCTTTGTCTCGAGCTGATCTGTAGTCTTCTTTCTCGTCGAGAGGGCCAAATGCTGCTTCATAGCCTTGCAGGTAGTACCGAGCTCCGATGATCTTCCTGTGAAGAAGAATTATTGAACAACAAATTAATTGTCTATCTGAGAAAAAATGTATTTTTCCCATTTGAATTAATATAAAATTGTTGCATGCTTTTTACATGCAATAATAATGAAGTATTTTGCATGAAGGAATAATCAGTCACTTTAACTAAGTTAGTGGCAGGAAATTAAAAAAAAAAATCATCAATTTATATTTGGGATCATGAAAAGCGAACTAAATATGAACAATAATTTGCAATTTTAAAAGTAATGGTATAAGATAACACATTTAATATATATATATATATATATATATTATAATTTATGGATATAAACATATAATTTAAGGATAAACAGTTATTAATATTTTAAAAATAAATATTTAACTATTCAATTTTAGATGATTTACTCCTTCTGTTAAAAAATATAAAATATTTTTAATCAAATTTACTCTTAATAAAGTAGTTACTATTTTTTAAACTAATATTATTTTTTATATTACCTCTATTTAATAGAGTATTTTATTTTAAAATAAATATACATTTATTTGTTCAATATGGATATTTTTTTAAAGCAATGATTATATTTTAAAAATATTAAAAATATCTTTTTAAACATTTAACTGATCAAAAAATGCATTATATTTTTGAAGTATTTTTTATAAAGATTACAAAAAGTTACAATTTATCTTTGTTTACACTCTAGGATGTATGAAGTATAACATTTTGAAAGATTGGACTTGAGAGAACAAGAAGCAAGTAAAATTTTTTATACCTTAATTAAGTTTTTTAATTTAAATTTAAATATTCTTTTCTTTCATCCTCCACCCAAATTTTCGAATAAAAAGAAAAGTGAGGTATTTAGATAAAAGAAATATGTCTGAATTCATTCCTGATTCCTTCTCCTATTAGTGCTGTTATGAGAAATCCCCAGTTACCAACTCAACTAATTAATAACCTCTAACATTATCTTTATGTTGAGGGACTGTGAATAAAATGCAATGCTATATATAGTAAATTATTTAGAGTTAATTTTATTTTCTGATTGAATCATGAGTGGCTACTAAACAACTTACTTTAAACATAAATACGGCTTTTTTAACATTTGAAGAGTAGAAATTGAAACAGAGTGATGGATAATTGAAGGAAAATAGAGAATGAAAAGTTTAATGAAGAAAGCTTACAACCAAAAGATACATTTTTCAATGAAATTTATAAAAATGGGCTTTAAAATTAGGAAGAATTTCAATAAAGCCCCTAAATTTCTAAAATTTTACTGCATTTCAAGGATACTAAATTGATATTCAAGAAAAATGACAAAATTGCCCTTCTTTTGATAATTATTTTATTTTTTTATTGCCCTACTTCACTTGTTAATTATCATGTTTTACTTACTTGTTTACTTACAAATATTGTTAATTACCATATTTCACTTGTTCATTTCCCAAAAATGAAATCAAGTAAAAGTTTAATAGGGAACAAGTGAAGTAAGGCAATAAAAAAGTGAAGTAATTAAGGTAATGAACAACAATCCGTGAATAAATGAATAACATACAATATAAAAATTAATAAATTGTTTTAAAATTATTTAAATACCTAAAATAAAAAAAAACTAAATAGGATAATTAACAATATTTCATAAGTAAATTAACAATTGAAGTAAAGAGGTTCTAATATTAAGTTAAATGAAAAGTAATTTTGTCATTTTCTTAAAAAAATTTAATATTAAATCAATACCTTAAATTATAGAGTAATTTTTAAAATTTAGGAGCTTTAAATTTAAATAAGTGTGATTTATTAAAATTCTCCCTCAAAATTGCCTAAACAAGTTTAACACACAGCATGCTATATAATTCAGAAGGCATGAATATCAACATCATCACCGAGTACTGTGCTCATTGCCTTGTCCTTGAGACTTTTCTCCTGTTTTCCTCAGCCACACATTAATTCCAATGTGGCAATAAACATACGTACATGTCCTTCTCTGTCTCTGCTAATCCCCTTTGTTTGTGCCTCCCCTTCTCTCTCTATATCTGATATACATGTGTGTGAGTGTGTCTCTCTCTCTCTCTTCCTCTCTGCATTTTTCACTCTGATTCACTCTTTCACGGGCTCAAAATTAACCGCTACCCAGCAGCTTTATTATGTAGCTTCTTAAACCCTAATTTTATTCGCAACTTATTTTGTTCAGATGATAAGAATAATATTTTTACTTCTAATTAATATTTTTTAAATATTTAAAGTAAAGAGCAGACCTTTTTAATTAACTAGATTTACTCCATGCATATATATATATATATATATATATAAGTAGATTTGAAATTAAACCCACACCCTATCACCTATTTTAACTTGAATCAATAATTGAAACAATTACAATTTTGGTTGTTGATAACAATGCACTGCAGCTCGAATGTATGTTTTTAATAGTACACGTACTATTTTTGACCAAGATATTACCAATCAGCATAAAATTCATGTCATCTAGATTTTGTGTAACATGAGGGGCCCACATTAGCTTAAAGACGATATAATTAAGGTTTCATCATGTATAATTACATATTCACAAGCACTTACGTATAGCTAAAATAATACTCCCTTTTTAAAAAAATATAAGATACTTTTTGAGAAGTTAGATGTTAAAAAATGTAAGGCATTTTTAGTCTTTTAAGGTTAATCATTATCTTTTTTTAAGTACCCCTATTAATAATGACTTTATATTTATTGTAACTATTTAATAGGGGTAAATATAAAAGATAAAATTAGTTAAAAAGTAGATAACTATTTTATTAAGGATGAAATTCGATTAAAAATATTTTACATTTAATAAACGAAAGAAGTATTAATTACAATATATATAACATGCTAAAACGCACACGTTCATAGTGTCAAGGCATTGAAAAATCAATTCAACTAATCATTGTTCAACCAGTCAAAATACTAGTATAAAGATTAATAGTTAAAATTATAGTCCAACTGTAGTTAGATCAGACCAGTCATATGGTATATACTTATAGAACCAATAAAAAACACTGGTTCAACCTGGCAGTTTTCATTACTATGTAGTATATAATTTAGAGATTATGTTAGTTTATTACTTATTTGATAATGTCATCATGTCTGAGAAAGACTTGTGGACAGGAAACAAGGGGAACATGCATGGCCCAGATTAAAGGAAAGACAACGAAGAGGATAAAATAATGAAAAAAAGGCAGAGAGATGCAAGAGGAGGACAATGGAATACGATAGAAGATCACAAGATGAGAAACGAAAGAAACCAAAAACAAATTAAGTCAAAAGGACAAAGAAAGAATCACGAAGACGAATAATAAGACACACATAAACTCTTATAGACTCAGCCCCACATGCTTCTCAAAAGATGGCACTGAAAATGCCTTCTTTGATTCTTATCATTTTGTCCTTATTAATCTCTCCTTCCTCCAAAAAGCTGTTATACAACACAGTACAATGAGAAAAAACTCAACTTGTTTCATGTCATACGTAATTCTTTTCCATTTGTAATTTCTTATGCTTTATCTTTATATCATTGCAATGACCTTAGAAAATTATCTTTGATGTCATTTACTATTTATAGATATAAAAAATGGCCATGAGACTATATATGAACATGATTATCTACTCTTTTATTTGAGAATATCAGTATTAGTGCATGACAAATTTGTCTCTACACTCTTTTTCAAATCAATTAATTAGAAATAAAGCTGTCTTAACTAACAAGTAAGTAATGGATCACTCTTTGCAATTCGTCTTATATATTTGTATGTATGTATTCCTTTTGGTATTCTTTTATGTTATTATATATGTCTAAGACTATGACATCTGAAAATGACACAACCATAAACAACTTACGCTATAGAGGGAAAACAATTGAGAGCTTTAACTTTAGTAACATCTAAGCAACTGTATTGTGCTCTAAAATTAACACACACACATGAAAAGAAAACTAGGTACTGATTTGTGGCTTGATTAAGGAAAGAACCTATGTTCAAAGGGTTTTCTAAAGTTGAATATAGAAAAAACCTTGGTTTGAAAAAGCATTTGTCTTGTCATCATTATAAAGTCCCGCAATAAAGAGAAGGAATTATTGAAATGGGATAACATATGTTTAATTTAAATTACCAAGCTTTATTTAATCCAGAGGTTATGTAATGATGTGTTTAAAAAGCTGCTAGAGCTAGAACTACTCTAATAATCAAGCTCTAAGCTCTGTGTGGGTGATCTTAAATAATCATCAAAATGATTATGATTCTCAAGGAAAATTCAGTTATTATTATTTATTATTATTATTATTTATTTTTTGCTGCAAGAGTAAAATACTGATTAGGAGCAGAATTCCTCAGCTGTTGGTTATTTAAAAAAAACAAAAACACACAAATCTTGGTTGTTTGGTTGTGTGTGTGTAACTGACACACCTATGTTGACTCACATGCATGTGTGTATGACTGAGTTGTCCATATATAACCTCCAAAATGAAGGAACCACAGTCAAAGTGTACAAAAAAAATTAAAAATAGATAGATAGAGAGAGAGAGAGAGAGGAGAGTGACCTATTACAAAGAGAGGAAGGGAAGGCAGTCCCATTTTGGCAGATCCCTTTCCATCTTTGAGGAAGAGGTCCCATCCCTTCATCTCTGAAGCTCTTTGATTCTGGCCACACACCTGCTTATCATCCATTCTACACACACAATCACTACACTACTCTTATCTCTCTCTCTCTCTCACCCTACCTTTTCTCAATCAATATCTAAATTCACTCTAAAACTTAAATAATCATTTCATCATCAAAACTATAAATATATAGCAGTGCAAAAGTAAAGAGTATAGATTTTTGTTTTTATTTTAAGATGACAATTAGAAAACGGTATTTTATCATGTTTCATTCTATTCTATAAAAAAAAAAATATCATATGTATTAAAATGAGGTAAAAAGTATGGTTCAAACTAAATTTGAACGGTTCATAGATGAATAGCTTTTTAAGACGTGCAAAATATTGGATTTGATTAGGTTAATATCTTCAAATATCAAATGGTTCTCTGTCCCTTCCAAACCCATACTCTTATGTGCATCTAGAGAGGACAGGACAAAAAGATAAAGAGAGAAGCCGGATCCATTCAATTCCTCAACCCATATTATCTCTCTTTACAACACGCACAAATTATATTATTTATATATGTCTCATGATAATTGATATTATAGGTTTTGATGACATGTATGAGAAGGGTAAAGGCATATGAAATTGAATAGATATTTATGTTGAGAATAATAATATTACCGCTATCAATCATCCCAACAATGATATCTTGTCCATAATTGGCTTTAGAGAGCAAGTTTTGTGTGGTTAATGGCTTCTTCTTTCCAAGGATTCAATGGCTCTTCCAAGCCCACAAACTTCCATGACCTTGTTGTATGCAATGAATCATTTCTGGTTCGCTCTTCCTCACCGACACCACACCCTCCATTTCTGTCCAATTAATAATTGATTTCTTCTTCATATATATCTCAGAATTAAACTCATCATCACAAACACTACAGTTACATTACATACCTGATAGCCTCTCGGCTTCTTCTGGGGTAAGCACAGCAGAGAAGCCATTCAGAGCAGGTTTGTAACTGTAAAGAAGAGAAGCTCGGGCTTCCTCTTCAGTTTCTTTCACAGAACAAAAAGGAGCTATGGATATTTCGATATCGTGCAGTGATATTTTGTCTCCATTCTGGTTGTCTTTGATGTCCACATGTAGATCTGGTTTGTCCATAAAGAAGATGACGATGTTTCAGTTATGAACAAGGAACACAGAAACCACAGATATATAGATATATATATATATAAAGCAACACAGTTAATGTCAATGAAGAAGAAGAAAAGTGAAAACCTGGTTCTGTGCGGTGCTTGAGGCTAAGGGAAAAGGAGAGAGGAAGAAGAGAAGAGGAGTGTAGCAACGGAAACACTGTTCTGCGATGCCATTGGTTGGGGAAATGACATGAAACTTAAGTTTGATAGGAGGATTAACATTTATAAGAAATATCAACGCACGCGTTTCTAGAGACTAGCTAGGGACATGATTGCATTTTATTGATTTTTACACGCTCTAATGTATTTACTATTATTGGGTTAAAATTTAATTTAAACATTCTTTTGTTAAAATGGAGATAACTTTTCCTGGTGATTTTTTTTAACCAATTATAAGGTTTTGAACACTTGAACGTTCCAAGGGTCATTTCTGCTGCTCCATCCCCATGATAGGTTGTTAATATTATTATTTTGGATGGATTTACATATTCATTGAGAATTGTAAGAATAAATCAAGTTGACATCTCCTCTATTTACTTTAATCAGGATATTTTTTCCCTTCTATTTTTAAGTAATCTATACGAATCTCCTCTCACAATCAATAGTTATAAGACATAAACCTAGCTCGTTCTATTTTTTAGATTTCATTTTTCATTCATCATTGTTAATTGATCATTAAGTCATATATGTTGGACCAAAATACCCCTATATAATTATAGATGTTTATTTAAAAAAATTTCCAAGCTGCTCAAAAGAAATTAATGGATATACTTTTTACATTTTTATTCATATTTTAATTTTTAATTATTGATTAAAATAATATTTGAAACTCATATGTAAAAAAAATTAATGAAATAGGGATTTATATAACAAGAGATACTTAGTTGATATGATTAATTTCTTACATTTCTTTAGATTTTATAATTTTTAAATACAATATTTTTAAATTAATTTACTTAAAAATTGGCATACTTAATTATTTAAAGTTCTTTAAAT